AGACAAAAGACCGGGCATAGAAATATGGCCTGTCACTAGGCTGCAGACAGCCAAAGTCAAACTTACCACCAGGCACCTATAAAGCAACGTGGATGAGACTGGGTGAGATCTGAACCTCTCTTCAATCCTATTTTTTCTACCTGTATAAGCTGCCCAAAGTATTTTCCCCCCTGTGGAGAGAGGGTAAAGGAAATTCTATCCCACCCTCTAAAAACAGCGGCGACTGTTATCCAGGGGAGTTTAAAATCCTGAAAGAATAACCTGATTTTAACTGGATTTCTATCTTTTTAAAATTTGAGGACTAAAAGATCTTTTATTCTTATTGAAGATTTGGGTTTTTACTTACAAAAAAGAAAATTGGAAAAAAGGATTATAAAAATTTTGGACTTAATTTTTTTTTAAAACAGTATGGCTGACATCTTGTGGCTAAACCTGATATTACAACTTGTTATTGTCTAAAAGAGACTTGGCTTGAAGCACAGACTATAGATAAGACTTTTGCAATCTTGGTAGATATCAGCTGTGAGAAGCCCAGCTGTGTTCTATACTCAGTGACAAAATTATTTTCACTCCCTGATTATAAAGCTTTTAATTTAACACACCACTAAGAGAACATGGATGAAGATCAGGAACAGATTCTCTTTATGTTGAAAGCAATTTATGAAACTATTCTTACAGCTTCTGATGAAATAAGAAGCTCAAGAAAATAACAAGATGTCTGCCTATATATGCGCACCCAAACTTTGATTACAATTAAAAAATCAACTACACAGAATATAATAGAAGAAGTGGAATAATCAAATACTATGATAGAAGATTCAACTGATCAACAAACACAGTTAATGTAAAACCAAGAAAAAGGACTGACAACACTGAAAATGGAAAAGACTTTCTATATAAACTAGAAGAAACCTGAGGATCAAGAAGAACAGACCGAAGGGAAGATAAACATTTCAGGACAACTACGTTGAGATGGAAAAATAGACAGACGATTTGTTAGCTCTTCCAAAAAAATGGCGACTGAATGGCCTCTTTTATCTCAAACAATATATATAATAACAGAGGGAGACCTATTTGATGACTTAAAAGCACGGATATGGAAGGTGAGTTGCAAAGAAAGAAAGCTAGAATAAGGCTGAAGAAAATGGGAGTTTTGACTTATTAATGAGGATTAAAATAGAATATACTCAAATAGACAAGATGTGTACTTTGAACATTAGATTTTGTTATGAACTGAGATAAAGAAAACTTTGGTCATTTAAAACCTGGAAGTATAAATATTAAAAGTTAAATTTAAATATTGATTTGTTTTCTAAAGATTGAATGTAAAAGTAATTAACATATATATAAGCTAAAATCTATTGATAAATGTAATAAACATGTTTTTACTTAGCTGATATAACTGTACTACCTTAAATAGGAGATAGTAGACATTAAGAGAAAAAGACAGGAAGTATTTGATGTTGAAGCAAGAGAAATTTTGGTTACTAAATTTAAGACATTTGGAAATTAATAGAAAATAAGAATGTTATACTGTATTATTAATTAGATGATGTAAGATGATGAGAAATAGAATATATTCAATTAGATAAGACATGTATCCTGAATATTAGACTTTATGATGAATTGTGATAAAGGGAACTTTGGTTACTTAAAACTTGGAAATTATAAATATTAAATGTTAAATTTAAATATGAATGAGAAACTAAAAAAATCGGGAAAAACTAATTAGGACATTGATTGTCTATAAAGACAGTTAAAATAACCAGGATATGTATAAGCTAAAAATTATTGATATATGTAAGAATGTTATTTTTATTTAATTGATATAATAAAAATTGTATTGGTTTAAACATGAGACAGTAAATACTAAGGGGAAGAGAAAGGAAATATTTAATGTGGTAGGTTGAGACTTGTACTAAAGATACTTCTATGTCATTGAGTTATTGAGTAACTCAGCCACCACGCTGCTTTTTAAATACTTAAATGTAAAACTAGGAAATCAATAAAACATTAAAAAAAGACTAGAATTTCAATCTTGGGCTGACAAATTAATATGCCAAAATGTATATGCTGCTTCCTTTTCTGATTCTAGGTAGCCTATAACATATGAGATAAAATAATATCATAAAAGCTATCCATAAAATCCAATAAATAAAAAACAACATTGTTAAAACTGTAAGTAAACGTGTCTTCAAACAATTGTTCTCTTCAAGAAGACTGTTTTCATAATATTCTGAAACCTTATCAGAAAAGTGCACATTTAACATTGGTGCACAAGCTATTGAGGGGATAGTACTGACAGTATCCAAGTAATTCCCCCATGTCTGTTCCTTCCCAAGTTTTTTTTAAATAATATTTTTATTATTACTATTATTAAATAATATTTTACTAAATATTACTATTTTACTATTACTAAATAATATTGTTACTATTACTAAATAATATTTTATTTATTATTATTATTACAGTTAAGTATTTAAAAAGCAACGTGTTGGCTGGGTTAATCAAGTTACAACATCAGATATTTCCTCTCTTTTCCCCTTAATATCTATTATCTCAAATTAGGCTAATACAGTTCTTATTGTTATCAACTAAGTAAAAACATCTTAGTTACATTTATCAATAATTTTTAGCTTACACATATCTTAATTGTGTTTGCATTCAATCCTTATATAAAATCAATGTTTCGTTATTGCTTTCTTCCCAAGCTTTAATTTCCCATCAATATTCAAATTAACATTTGGTATTTACAATTTCCAAGCTTTAGGTAACCAAAGTTTCCCTTATCATAACTTCTTCCTTTTTCCTTTTTCATAACAAAAATCTAACATTCTAAATGCACATCTTATCTATTTGAATATAGTCTTACTCTGTTTTCTAAAAGTTATCTATTTTCCACCATATTAAACCATCTAATTAATAATACAGTTTACCCTCTAATAGATCAAAACCATTATATGTATTGTCTGGGTTAACCAATAAATCAGTAATATACATAAATTCTTTCATTTAGGTCTATTTTTTAAAAGCTCAAATACTCCCTCTCTTTTTCTGGTAATATCTATTTTCTCATATTGGACAAACAAAATTCTTATTTTCAACTGATTTTCAAATATTTTATATTAAGTGATCAAAATTTCCCTTATCTCAACTTCTCTCTTTCCCTTTTTCATACCAAAGTCTATTAGTCTTGTTACACATCTTACCTATTCAATTATAATGCTACTTTATTTTCTAAAAATTATCTATTTTCTACCATATTCAACCCTCTAATTAGTAATATGAAATCCCCTCTAATAAATCAAAACCCTTATTTTCTTCAGCCTTACTCTGGCTTTCTTCCTTTGCCAACTAACCTTCCATGTCAATGCTTTTGAATCATCAAATAGTTCTCTCTCTATTATTATATATATTATTTGGAATAAGAAAAACCAGTTGGTTGCAGTTTTTTGGGAAGAACTAGCCCAGTTGTATTCATTAGATCGCCTCCCTATTACTCCAATTTCCCACAATTGTCCTGATAGGTTTTTCTTCCATTCAATCTGTTCTTCTTCCTTTTCCTCAAATTTCTTCTGATTTTGTAAAAAGTCTTTTACAAAAGACTCCCTTTTCTAATTTTTCCGTTGGCTGGATCTGTTAGTCAATTGAGTCCTCTGTCTTAGTGTTTGATTGTTCCACTTCTCCTGTTATTTTCTGCATTGTTAGTTCTTTGGTTGTAGTCAAGATCTGGGTTTATATATTTAAGCTGGCGTCTTGTTCCTTTATGTTGCATCTTATTTTGTCACAAGCTGAAAGAATGGTTTCGTGTATTGATTTCAACATGGAGAGGATTTTTTTCCTGATCTTCATCCATATTCTCTTGATAGTATGTTAAGTTGAAGACTTTAGAATCAAACGTTAAGAATAGTTTTTTGTTTTTTATAGCTAGGTAAGGGACATCTATTTCACGTGTTATAGGTGGTCTTTATAATAGAAATTGTTTGTCAAGTAAGAGTTTGTAGTCCAAGGTATTCCATCATCTTGTGTGATAACATATGCTTCTCATGTAAAGAAATAGGAAAGCAATTCCTCACATGTTCATAATTCAAACAGGCCAGATATGCCACCCAGAAGTTCCTTCTTTGCAGCTGAGTTTTTCACAGGTGGTAGCTGTCAGTCAGAGAAGTTTTTTCTAGAGTCTGGGCTTCAAGCCAAGTCTCTTTTAAGCAATAGCAAGTTGTAATACCATACTTCACTACAAGATGTCACTGATGCCATTTAAAGTTTTTTAAGTCCAAAGTTTTTATGATAGTTTTTCCGAGTCTTATTTCTTTTTTTTGTTTTAGATAAAAACAAACGTCTCCAGTAAGAATAGAAATACTTTTAGTCCCCAAGTTTCAAAAGCATATATATACAATTAGATTAAAATTGTTCTTATAGTTGCTCTGTTTCCCCTGGTTAGTTAGTGGCCGATGTTCTTAGAGGGTGGGGTAGAAATTCCCTCTCTTCTCACAGTGGGAAAAATACTTTGGGCAGCTTTTACAGAAAAAAATTCTTAAAAGTCTTAAAGAGAAGATCAGATCTCACCCAGTTTCATCTGCGTTGCTTTAAAGGTGCTTGGTGGTGATTTTGACTTCGGCTGTCAGCAGCTTAATGATGAGCCATATTGCTATGGCCGATCTGTCCCCTGCCGGTTTGGAGGGCTTCTCCAGATCAAACAGAAGGCCCACCGTGATCAAGCGGGGGTCCCCTCATTGCTCGTTCCCCCTACAGGGTGACTTTCGACCCTTTCCAGGGTCCCCAGCGGGACGAATTCGGACGCGAAAGACAGAGCTCGTCTTCCAGCATCCGCGCTGCTGCGATGGCAAACCGGAAGTCGTCCTTCCCAAGTTTTTAATTTCTTTCTTTAAAAACAATATCTTAGAATTAAATTCTATGATAGGAATATGGAAATAAAGTGTTAGGATTTTGAACATCTTGCAAACTAAGAGATTCTTAGCTATTTTAATCTTCGGCAGGTCACTGACAAAGGATTGAGTTACACACTGAGTTATGGATACGTCTGTAAATCGCTCTATTCTGAATTTTGGTTTATTCTTCTTCTGGGATTTAAGGTACATAATTCATTCCAATATCTCATTGATAAAAGAAAGGCTTACAAGCTCATTGTCCATTATACCTAGATATTTAAAGATTAGAGTTATTTAATGTAGGGACAATCTTTTTGTACAAATATTCTTATATTTATTATGCTCAGTTGTGAAAGTTACTTCTGATTGATGAAGGTGTTGCTTCCTCAAGACGAGAAACACTTCTTATGCTTCGTTCCCTCTACTTCTATATGGACATTGAATTCAAAGCAACTTGTGGTATATCTTGAAACTTTATAAAATAAGCTTAAAATAATTGCTACCATCCAGCTTTTTCATTCAGCTATAACGTAACTTATATAAAGGGCAGGGGGATAATAGGTCATCAAAACAGCCCCCTCCCAAGTTGTACCACCAAAATTTAGGGACAAAACTCTGTGTTTTGTTCACTAATATGGACTTGACATTTACCAGCATCAACCAAAATCCAGGGCCTCCAGCAATCTGGCCACCTAGCCCTTGAAATGGGTTCAGTGAGTAACTAGCAGCCAACTGAAGGTATCCTTTCCCTTGGAATGATCCATGTTTTTCTGGTAAAATAGCATTCATAATGCAAAAGCATTAAGTTATGGGACTGTAGTGTAATTTCCTTCCCAATCTGCCCTCTACTACCCAAAGTACCAAGATTCCATCATCAGATTGGAGAGTTACTTCACATATCATGGTTGTTGGAGAGTATCCTTTTGCTTTTGCATTAGGAATGCTATTTTACCAGAAAAACATGGGTCATGGGAAAGGCTGCCTTCAGTTGGCTGCTAGTTACTCGCTGAACCTATTACAAAGTTTTATTAGTTTATAATATACGATACAATCGAAATACAGAGTAAATAGCGGAAAAGATGGGGAAGGGAAAAGGGAATAGAAAAGTGAGGTAAGGGAGAAAAAAAGGGGAAAAAAGGCATTCAACTTTCTTCAGTGCAATAGAGTATCAACTTCAAACCTCAACTTTTTACGTTTACAAAATAGTATAAACTAGCCATTTCAATAACATCAAATCTATCTAATTGGTAAAGCCCACAATCAAAATTTCATTTTTTTCCCCATTTCAAGCACAAAATCTAGAAGTGGTTTCCATGTGGCAATAAAAGAACCTATTACTAGGGCCAGAGAGCCAGACTGCTGGGGGCCCTGGATTTTGGTTGATACTAGTAAATGCCAAGTCCATATTAATGAACAAATGGATTTGACATGTATTACTGAAACCTGGTTCAGCAACAGCAGCACAATCACACACACTGAAATCTGCTTGCTCACATCTGAGTTTACATCTGCTTTGAATGCCAGGATAGGGGGAAAGGTTTGGTGGCATTCAGGAGTACTGATCATGTGGTGGGCTGTAAATGCTTTTATGTGATATTGGGTAGTATAGACAAGCTAGGAATTTTACTCATGTGTCACCTGGCTTCTGCAAAACAGTCGCTTTCTGGCTGTCCAAATCTCATGGCTGGGCTGGTGTTGTAGTCCTTCCAGCTTTTACTGTCAGGGGACTTCACTTACCGTGTTATGGAGCTTCTTTGCTAGGTTTCTAGGATAATCTAGAAATTCATGGCAGTCATAGGTTGAACTAGTTTATCATAGGCACATGTGTTGGGCATATAATTGGCATTATTTCAGATCTAGTCTTTACTAGAGCAGCTGTTATGTGATTTGAAGATAGAGGATATTGCTGTATTCAAATCACTTCCTGGTTTGTATTCAAATCACTCCCTGGTTTGTCTGATTGCCTGGAATCCATACTGGTTGGGAGGTTCTATTAAATCCCCAGACCCCTTAGGGTTCTGATAGGCATTTGGAGAGTTTTCCTGCTAATTGCAGGCAGTTCGTTCAAGCACCTAGTTAATCCCTGTGACTGGGGTGTAAAATGAAAATGCTCCTGGGTGGCTTTATCCCCTTCCACAAATATGCAGAGGATTCTTGGGTCAACAAGAAGCACTGGGAAATAAGAGGGCTGGAGAAAGACTGGAAGTGAACTTGACCAAACCTTTGTATGAATACCTACCTGGAGGTGATAAAAGACAGAGAAACACTCTAACATCATCCTTCTAATAACTTTCTTTTTTGGGGGTCTGAGAGTTAGCAAGATCTGCCCACAGGCTCTTATGAAAATTTGGTCAATATTTTGCCACAACAGGGATCAAATTTACATAAGCCTAGGCTCTGTATGGGCAGTTTGTACAAACCTGGCAGAAGTAGAATCTTGAAAAGTAAACTGGAAGTCATTCCATGTGGCAGATTTCAGTGAAGAGGATATGGTTCAGGGCAGCATCAGCTCCATCATAAGTGAACTGGATGCCTATCCCTTCTAATATTATGCAGGGATGATTACTAGAGTATGGCTGCTATTGTTCCATCACTGATTTTGAATCAAGTGAGCAGTAAGGATATTTTATTAAATTTTATCAGTGTATGATTAGATTAACAAAATGGAAGTTTAGACTTAACTCATGTTTGAACCTACTAAAATTTTTTTCTGTGTTATTTTTCAGGGAATCCTACTGATATATGGAATTTACCTTGCAGGTCTAACAGATAATCTCAGTTGCCCACCAGTTAATCAGTCCCTGACACTCATAAGTGCAGTAGCCATTATTTTCCTCTTTATTGGAATTATGCTGGTGGTTAATAGTTTTTTCTATTTGTGGCACAATCTGATATATGGATTAACTTCAGGAGGAATCTTTGTCTGTATGTCTTCAATAAATTGTTTGATCTTTATCCCACAGGTAAGAAAGCGATGAGCGGTATTGCAAATTACTTTTCCCCAGAGTCTTGCATATAAATGGAATTCCTGATACATAAAATATACAAATTAATTAAAAATGGTTAATCTTATTGGTAAGATAACTATAGTTTACTTGGCAAGAAAATGCAATTATATATCCTCAGCTCATAATAAATGTATTCTGCTTCACATTTCAATAAGCCCATGGCAGGACTCTCATCATACTGGAACTTGCAAATACACTTTCTTAGCTGTGCTGTACAGTGATTCAAGGACTTATATAGTTGGGTGCCACACCACATATCCTATTTTAATACTACATAGATAGTTGTAGAATTGTAAAATGGTAAGAAAAGGAATAATTAAAAACCCTCATAGTATACACCTTTTTGATTTTAATGTCAGGATTTCATTAAAATGGTTTAAATCTGGTTCTTGTTCCTTTATATAATGTTACCATTTTTGACGTATGATTTCTCCAAAGATGAAGTATCTCTTTTAGCCTGAAAAAAATGCAAATACAATTTAAATGAGCACATAAACTCACACACTTTGCCTCTTGTGAGCAACTGTCCTTGACTTATTAGATAAGGATAGACAAAGCACAGAAAGAAATAAGCCAATTGTATCGGACTGTGGATTCATGAGACAGTATTCTTCTGTTCAGATACCACAGCTTCCACACTGTAAAGGGAAATAAGGTTGAACCAATTTTACAAAAGTAAAGTTCAGGTCAGCTCAAGATATCAATGGCAAAAATCTAGGGTTTTGCTAATAAAAAATCATTTAAAACCTGAAATTTGCCCTATTAAATTCAACAGTCATGATTATATTGCACAGCAGAGTCTGTGCCTCCTTATAACATCAAAATTCCTTGAATGCTACTTGTGAGTGCAAGTTGTTAACCTTTATAAAAGGTGACATTACTTGCTTAAGAGCAACTAAATTGCATTGATTGACAGGACAAAGGTTCAGTTCCAAGTCACTGTCAGATAACCTCATGGAAACCATGGGCTATCCTCAGTTGATTTCAGTCTAGATATTCATATATTTTAGTGTGGCCTATTTATCTGAATATGTCTTAAATATTTGGCTTTATCTCCTGTAGTCTGTAAAATGCAATAAAGTTTGGGAGACAGGAAATTGTTTAATGAGTGAATTCCCACTGAATTTGAGGTTACAGTGAAATCTAGAATGAGTTTGTGAGCTCATTTTGTAGAAAGCAATTAAGGAATTTGTTTCCCAGTTTCAGCACCGTTTTGTTCATAATTTGTGTTGTGGTCAAAATTTGATAAACAATTTTATCCCTAACAGTATATAACTTTTAGTATTATTCAAATGATAGGTTATAATCTTTACTTTATTAAATGTATTGTGGCTGTCCAGTAGAGAAGATTCTGGGCAGTTTACAGTATCAATTAAACAAGTAAAAACAGCTAAAAATAAGTATGCCTATAAACTAAGACTACATAATAATGCAAAAAACAAAACAGAAAAAAATCTCTCTTCACCCAGCCACATTCTGGGTGTCATGTTCCACCACCATGTTCAATAAAATATCAAATTATTTTTCTCTTTATGATCAGGAGATTTTTATATTTTAAATTAAAATATTAGATTTAACAAATTACTTATTAGAAAACCACCGCTGTGAAATAGGAAAAAAGAGATTCCAGGACCTTGCAGATTATAGAAAGTTGGGCAATCTGTCTAGAGTAGGTGGATTAAAAATTGAAACAGAGCTAAAGCAGAGCTTTAGGATTCTAAAGCAAAAATACTTCTAGGAGTGAAGCTTGAGGGTTAGCTTAGAACTTTCTTATGCTGAGGAAGCAGATTTAAATGATTTTAGGAGGCTGGGAGATATGGTGAGTGGGGCAAAGATGCAAAATGTGAGAGGCTACATTGTGAGAGTATACTGAGGTGAGGCATAGGGGTTATACTCTTAAAAATTTGTACTCAAATTATTTCACAACAAGTTTGATGTGTTTTCACCTCAAAATAGTTAGGCTGTGCAGCTGGAGAGGCTTTGGCGAGGCTTTGAGGGCCATTTTTGAATCTAGGATCACAGGTATATCTTTTCTTTCCATAATTTGTGTGGTAATAACTGACAAATGATATAACGCAGGTAATAAATAAGTAATATTAATCTTATCCCAAACTTAGGATAGGATGCCCGTATTCCTCAGTGATTAAAAAAACCTCAGGTATTTGTAAGAGTTGATTTCATATATGTGATTCAAACATTTTGTATTGTACTGTGAAACATTTTGATGCTATAGCTGCCAACTGACAAAGCTGCTCCATTGCTTTGTTGCCTTCTTTCTTTAAATAGTGAAAAGGCCTGCAATAAAAGACTTTGTCCCAGAAAAGCGTGTTCAAGAGAAAGAGAGAGAAACGTGGACAAAGGAAATGAACTTTGCCTTCCAAATGAAAAGTGTGCATGTGTACAAAGGAATGAGATCTTTACCTATGAGAACAAAACAACCCAGCAGTTTCAAGACATGCCCCCCCCCCACTATTTCTCCATAGCTTTCACTTTTTGTCTACTGTACTCTTTCTATCTTGATTCTTACTTCTGAAAATTCTATTTCAATATTCAGCAGATCAGACAGTGGAAGACTTTTGAAAAACAAGAAGTTGATACCAGCAACATGGCCAAATATTTTACAGGTTCCAACAAGAATTTCCATTCTACAATGTATAGTGATGAAGAGATATACCAGCTGCTCGGCGAAAAAAATACTATGGCGCAGCAGCTTACAGAGGTGGGAAATACTTACATAATCAGTAAAAAAGAATGAAAATACAATAGCTCCTCACTGTGCAACCATTCTCACATGCTGTATGAACATATTTAAAGTATCTCATAGAATAAAAACTGAGCTTCAGATAAAATGGGATAAAAACAAGAAAAAGGATTAAGTCTGCTTCATCCTTAAACGACTGATTTAAAAGGTAAAGTTTTCCCTGTCAGTCGTGTCTGACTCTAGGGCATGGTGCTTATCTCTGTTTCTTGGCTGAGGGAGGCAGCGTTTGTCCGAAGACAATTGCTGTGGCCATGTGGCTAGCATGGCTATATGCCAAAGGTGCATGGAATGCTGTTAGCTTCTCACCAAAGTGGTACCCATTTATCTACTTGCTTTTGCATTGTTTCAAACTGCTAGGTGGGCAGGAGCTGGGCTAAGTAACGGGAGTGATAAATATGGCAGACGTGAGGGAAAAAACTACTATAGCCCATGGTGTGTTTTTTCCCCCGTCAGATATTTTAGAATGGTAGGGAAAATGTACAGGTGACCAGAAATCTATATTATTAAAAAAATGCTATCTGGATGTCATAAATCATAAAATAACATGCTCATTTCAAAGAGGATATAGATACAAATTGCTGAATAAGAAATTGTGCGAGAAGACAGTTGCTGTGCACACCTATCTGCATGGAAATGGACTATTTTCGTATTTCCAAATACCTATTAAGTGGAGGAAAATTTGAGAAGTTAGCCTTTTATAGGATCTTTCAATGCATACTGAAAAAAATAGTTCATTGATTATCATTCCAGGAGTATGAGAGGACTTTAGCAAATACTCTATGATTTTTGCTCCCATGATGGAAGCGGTTTAAATATAGCCACTTCTCTGGCAGATATGGCATATAACCAATCCATTGAAAATTTTATCAACTATCTTGACTTAGTAAACAAGACAGAAAATCCTTGGAATAAAAGAAGTAGCAAGGTACTTTTTATAGCAACATTTCCAAGAACAGAACCCTAGGTTAAACAGATAGTTCTCCTGAGCAAGCAGAACTATTTTTAGAATATGCTTTGGCTTCATTTGGTTGAAACATGTCAGAAGAATACTTAGTAATTTTCAGTGGGGAAAAATCCCCAAAGCCATGCAACCTGATCTTACATATGAGTTGTGTGATGTTCCTATCTTGTGTTTCCTTTTTTTAAAGTTTTTTAAAATACTTAAAAAAAATGAGTATCAATTGAGATTCAGGTCATGGTTGTTCCAAAGGTGCTTTTTCAAAAGACAAGTGGACTTCTATTTTTCCTTTCGCTTCTCAACCAAGAAGCTTCTTCAGTTCTGATTCTGAACTGAAGAGCCTCTTGGATGAAAAACAAACGTCTGCAAGGAAAAACAAAGTCCAATTGCCTTTTGAAAAAGCACCTTTGGGACAATTGAGTACTGTAGGTAAATCTTTGTATCCATAACCAATGCTTATGCCACTTTAATCAAGCAAAAATCTAGTTGGCTTATGAAATAAATGAAGCATTTCATAAAGAGGAATCATAGCCTCACATATTAAGTGGAGATTTCAGCATTTGCTTTGCTGTTTAGTCTGAAGTAATAAGTCCGTTTTGTGGCGTTTCAGATTAGGTCCAGATGAAAGGAATACTTTTTTACAGTATATGCCAAATATTTGAAGACTGAGGTTAAAAGGAAAAATTAAAAAGTGCAGTGGTACCTTTTTACTCAACTGCTTTGAAATTCATCAAATTTGTTCTTCAGTGCATTTTGACATGAAAAATTTGTCCCAGTACTCATCATTTGTTTGGTATTCAATGCATAAGCTAGAAGTTGATGATGTGATCTGCCTTTTAACTCACTATATTATAACTTATGGGAAAAAATTGTTTGCCCCTCATCATTTTTGGTACTTATCCTGCCTCCCAGAACCAATTAAGGATGAGTACCAAGGGACCATTTTATCTTATAGTTGCATTTCATTAACAGTGCATACAATGTTAATGCTTTGTGTTTGGAAAGACTTTTAATATAAGATTGATAAGCAATATTCTGCTTTTCTCCTCCTGTGTTTCTTGTTTGTTAAGTACATTTAGTATGTATATCATTATTAGCTAACGTGATAATTTTTATTGAAGTATAACATTTATTATTTATTCCAGCTCATTCATTTGCATAGCAGGCCTATTTTTTTCAAACATTCATTTTATACAAACTCTAATTGTGTTTTGGTGCATTTAAATCAAAATATTTATTATAGTTTATTTAAAACAGAAAGATACAGCAATTGCAAATCTTCAAGAACAAATGAACACTGTTAAGGAGAAGTTGATGAGACTGGTGGCTATAGAGCAGGGGTCTCCAACCCCAGGTCCGTGGATCAGTACCAGACCGCGGCATGCCACAACCGATCCGCACAAACAAGCAAAGCCCCATCTGCAGGATGCAGGCAGCACACAAAACCATGCCCCCTCCGGTCTGTGGAAAAAACTCTCTCCACATAATCGATCCCTGGTGCCCAAAAGATTGGGGACCTCTGCTATAGAGGATAACCACAGTGTTGTTGGTTCTCCATTTCTTTCTATGTCCCATTTATTGCCTTCTCATTCTACAGCTAATTTTTCTTCAATGGCAACTGAAAATCTACCATTTTCATTTAGCCAGGAGCTGAAACCATTGCAGAATTCTAAGCTCTCAAATTCACAATACTTAGCAGGATTACTTAGTAAAAAAAGGTCTATTGATGACCTAGAACATACAGATCAAGAGAATATATCATTAGACATTACTGCTAAGTGTAAACTAGTGAATAAGAAGAATTCAGGTGCTAAGTATGATGAAGATCAATGGTTTTCCCAATCCAGCACTTTACTTACTAGGGAGAAGCTACATGAACACAGTTTCAGCACACTGAGCAAAGGAGCAAGGCAACAACATTTTTCAGCACTGAACCAAAAGCAAAGCCCAGAAGTAAGTTCTCCAAGCAATAAAAAAATTCAAAAAATCTTGCAGGACCTGAGTGAGAATCACATTACTATAACACAGCCATTTTCCAGGGAACTCAAGTACAATTATGAAAGGAGAATGATATTGCAACCGAAGAAGATTGGAAAGAAAGTCCCCTTCAATTTTTCTAGTTCCATGGCCTCCAGTATTCAGTGTGGTGTGAATAAATCAGCCAGCAGAATGCAAAGAATGAGCAGATTAATAGAATACCCTTCTTCAGCACCAAGAAGCACCGAGGATGGAGATTCTTTGCATCAGCTTCCACCTTTGCCATCACTGATGCTTAAGAACTCACTGCAAACTAAGCCTGACAGTGGGTTTGGATCATTATACAATGAAGGCTATGGCTTGCTGCTAGACAATCATCTAGTAGGGAACTATGCATCCACATTGTATCCCACAAACATGAGGAATTTTCATTATCAGCAGAAAGATTTTCTGACAAGAGCTATTCCAGGTCTTTCTCCCTTGCAGCATTTTTACTTTGATTCTGGCAGCAGTTCTTCTGGTGAGAGAGCCTATTGTCACCAAACACAGGCTTGTGAAATTTGCCATTGCAGTCTCTCTTCTTCTAGTGACAGCTGCATGATTGACACAGATCCTGAATATAGTACATTAGATTATGCAAGACGTTATAGCAAAGCTAAACAAATTGTGAATTTCAATGAAGATTTGGAACCCACTTATGTATAAAAATTTGAAGTTATTATACATTTGGTTTTTGGTAGTAAATGAGAATATTCTCAAAAGCATGGCTTCTCCTGTAAGTTGTTTGAGCCTATAAAAAATAAGTTACATAGAAACCCAGGTAATATATTTTCTATAGAATAATACCAATTTCATTTGTGATTTACTAGACCTCTTCCAAAAAATTCAGTATCTATCTATCCACCCATTCATTTATTACTTTTTTCTAATGCCTGTGCATAAGGAAGAAGCATGTTTGTGAGCAAACTCAAATTACTCTCAGTGTGTTAATTACCAGAAACAAGCTTGGTTTATCAAGAAGTCTTTCATGACTAATTAGAGATAGGTATCCTGAACAGCTATAAGGAACATTTCTGGATCTACTTTTCAGTCTTTTGATTAAAGACTTGGATGAAGAGGCAGAAGTAATTATTAAAGTTGCAGATAGAAAATTGAAAGGGAGAATACCACGGAAGACAGACATACAATTCAAAATTCCTAGGTTTGAGAAATATACTGAAAGCAACAAAATGAAATTTAATAGAGGCAAGTGCAGTGTTCCTCACTTAGGAAACAAAAATCCAGGCACAGGTAGGGAATATTTAGTTTGGTTGTAAAAAGTATCTTGAAGTAGTAACTTCTTGTAAGCTGAGGATGAGTCATCAATGTGATATGGCTATATAAAATATAATTAAAGTCTGAAGTCTGTTTAGCATCATAGAAGGGTGACATAGAAATAGTGACATGGTCCCCTTTTTCTCTTTGCACATATATACCTGTGTGGAAGAGATTACTTGGCCAACTCAACTATTTGTATGTAATTATTTTTACTTGGCAAATTTTCCAAATTGCATTAGTGAATTATAAATTCTCTTATCTTTTAGCTGTGTTGCTACTTGGAACAATTGATGATAATAAGAGTTTTGTAATCTGACATCTGCAGAACAGAGGGAAAATAATGGTGTATCTACATATATTTTAGCGGAAGATTAGTTATCTGGGTCCCCAAGTTAATTGAGATACATAATCACACCATCTCTAGGTGTCCTCTGCTAGGAATCTTGTATATTGACAATGGGTCAACTATCTAAATGATGACCAATGATGTCAAAAGCTCCCAGATGCTAAATCTTGGCCCAGGCCTAATAACCCAGGAAGAAAACTATTATGCATCTGCTAGATCAGGAGGGATATCCTCTGTGGTTTCTTTGGAGTTACTGCCAAGCTGAAGGAGCATGGATTGGTACATTTATTAATTTTTTTATTGTGTTTTTCCTCATAACAACCTTATGAGGTAGGTTGGGCTGAGGAAGAATGACCAACACAAAGTCACCCAGCTGGCTTTTCATGCTAAGATGGGACTAGACTCAGTCTTCTGGTTTCTAGACCAGTACCTTAAATACTATTTTTTTAGTTTTTTCCTTCATAATTGTATATTGTTTATTTTTGTGTTTAATAAAAATAAACTGTCCATTTGATAGAAAATTTCTTTTGTTTAAAGGAAGTTGTTGCAACTCAGAAATACAAATTGCTTGAATATGAACTAGTGAACAATTTTCTGAATGGGAGATACTCCAGTGATATGAACAAAAAAAACGCTTTGAAAGCTTTTACAGAACCAATGCTGCCACCAAAAGGGTTTAAAAACAGATTAAACTCACTTAACGCCTTGCTTAACAACAGAAATTCTGATCCCAATTTTAGTTATAAGTTGAGGATTACCTGCATGTGAAGAAAAATACATGTGAAGAAAAATACATGTGAAGAATTAAGCCTAGTATTTAAAAATTACCTGAGATAAATTAACTTCAGATCAATTAATGTTATTTCTTTCAAGATGATATCTGTTGTATGTGAATGGAAGTTGACTAACTTCTTACCTTGCAAGTTTGCATCTACCACTTTCTGTACTTCTAAATCTATTGTCCACTGGGGCAATATAGCAGAAGCATTTTCCTTGTCTAAAAAGTATGACTTAACGTTTTCTATAACATGCGTCCTGTTGGTTGGACTGATGCTCTCAGAGCTTCCATCATTTCCATGCACAGTTTCTCACTTGATCCCACCAACTGATGACCTTCCAACAGTGAACTGGTATGCAACTTCCCTATAGTCAAACATGGCTATTTCAATTTTTTTCCTTAGAATGATGCACCACAAGGGTAGTGGTCACATATTATCCTGTTCTTCTGAAAACTGAAGCCAGATCTTATCATCCCAGAAATGCCATTTGGGGGAGACTTTACAGAGAACCATACATCATTTTCATTATCACCTGTTCCTAGCATTGTTATTAATTTGAAAATGGAATCAATGGTTTTAGTTAATTCTTATTTTCCTTCATATCTTGTCTGAAACCAATGATCAGGACTTGTTTGAGGATCACTTAGTGGAACAATGGTTGAAGAATCCCAACTGATTCTAGCAGATCATTTCATATATAACTCCACAACTTAAAAAAATCAAAGAATTAATTGTAGGAGATAATTAATCAAATTTGATCTCTTTTTACAGTACAGTAATTGATAACTTTAAGGAAGAATTTACCTTCTAGTTCGCCATAGGCACTAATCCTGGCAATTACAAGATAATACTTTCCAATCTTTTTAGTAAGTTTATCCATTTACTGCTATCTGGATAGCAGTTTCATGTCTTGTTACACTGCCCCTTGTATTATCCTTTTATTCCAATGTAATAATCTTCTTAGCTGTTTGGATCCGGTTGTAGAAGAGAACAATGTTTTAATTAAAATATCCATCTTCATAAATTTCTAGGAAGATTATGAAATTTTGTTGTCATTTCTGACTTTTGCACTCTTCTTCTTCACCTGCATCAAGAGGCTCTTTAGTTCCTCTTCACTTTCTGCCATTAGAGTGGTATCATTTGTATATCTTAGGTTGTTGATATTTCTCCCGGCAATCTTAATTCCAACTTTTGATTCATCTAGCCCTGCCTTTCTCATGATGTGCTCTGCATATAAGTTAAATAGGCAGGGCGACAGAATACCGTCTTGCCGGGCTCCTTTCCCAATTTTGAACCAATCAGTGGTTCTGTTTCCAGTTCTCACTGTTACTTCTTGACCTGCATATAGGTTTGTCAAGAGACAAATAAGATGGTCTGGTACTCCTATCTCTTTAAGAACTTGTCACAATTTGTTGTGATCCACACAATCAAAGGCTTTAGAATAGTCAATGAAGCAGAAGTAGATGTTTTTCTGGAACTCCCTAGCTTTCTCCATGATCCAGTGTATGTTGGCAATTTGATCTCTAGTTCCTCTGCCTCTTCGAAATCTGGCCTGTACTTCTGGAAGTTCTCGATCCACATACTGCTGGAGTCTAGCTTATAGGATTTTAAGCATAACTTTACTTGCATGTGAAATGAGTGCAATGGTGCAATAGTTTGAATATTCTTTGGCATTGCCTTTCTTTGGAATTGGAATGTAAACTGACCTTTTCCAATCCTGTGTTGAGTTTTCCAAATTTACTGGCAAATTGAGCGTAGCACTTTTACTGCATCGTCTTTTAAGATTTTGAATAGCTCAGCTGGAATACTGTTACCTCCACTAGCTTTGTTGTTACTCAGCTTTCCTAAGGCTCATTTCACTTCACATTCTAGGATGTCTGGCTCGAGGTCAGCGACCACCCCATCATGGTTATCAGGGACGCTAAGCTCGTTCTTGTATAGTTCTGTGCAATTTTGCCACCTCTTCTTAATCTCTTTTGCCTCAGTTAGGTCCCTGCCATTTTGGTCCTTTATCATGCCCGTCTTTGCATGAAACATTCCCTTCATATCTCCAATTTTCTTGAAGAGATCTCTGGTTCTCCCTATTCTATTGTTTTCTTCTATTTCTTTGCACTGTTCATTTAAGAGGGCATTCTTATCTGTTCTAGCTATTCTCTGGAATTCTGCATTCAATTGGGTGTATCTTTCTCTTTCTCCTTTGCCTTTCGCTTCCCTTCTTTCCTCAGCTATTTGCAAAGCTTCCTCAGACAGCCATTTTGCTTTCTTGCATTTCTTTTTCTTTGGAATGGTTTTAGTTGTTACCTCTTGTACAATGTTGCGAACCTCCGTTGATAGTTCTTCAGGCACTCTATCAGATCTAATTCCTTAAATCTGTTACCTCTACTGTATATTCATCAGGGATATGATTTAATTCATATCTGAGTGGCCTAGTGTTTTTCCCTACTTTCTTCAATTTAAGCCTAAATTTTGCAACAAGACACTCATGATTTGAGCCACAGTCAGCTCCTGGTCTTGTTTTTACTGACTATAGAGCTTCTCCATCTTTAGCTGCAGAGCACATAATCAATCTGATTTCTGTGTTGACTGTCTGGTGATGTCCATGTGTAGAGCCGTCTCTTGGGTTGTTGGAAAAGTGTGTTTGCTATGGCCATCATATTCTCTTGACAAAATTCTATCAGCCTGTGCCCTACTTCATTTTGTACTCTAAGGCCAAACTTGCCTGTTATTCCAGTTATCTTTTGGCTTTCTACTTTAGCATTCCAATCCCCCATGATGATAAGGACATCATTTTTTGGTGTTGATTCTATAAGGTGCTGTAGGGCTTCATAGAACCACTCAATTTCATCCTCTTCAGCACTAGTGGTTGGGGCATAGACTTGTACTACTGTGATATTGAATGGTTTGCCTTGGATTCGAACGGAGATCATTTTGTCATTTTGGGGATTGTATCCCAGTATTGCTTTTTCTACTTTTTTATTGACTATGAAGGCTACTCCACTTTTTCTGAGGGATTCTTGCCCACAGTAGTATACCTGATGGTCCTCTGAATTAAATTCACCCATTCCTGTCCATTTTAGTTCGCTGATTTCTAAGATGTCGATGTTCAGTCTTGTCATCTCTTGTTTGACCACATCCAGCTTGCCTTGATTCGTGAATCTTACATTCCAGGTTCCTATGGAGAAAAGATTTTTACAGCATCGGACTTTCCTTTCACCACCAGATATATCCACAGCTGAGCATCCTTTTGGCTTTGGCCCAGTCGCTTCATTCTTTCTGGCCCTACTAGTACTAGCCCTCTGCTCTTCCCCAGTAGCATATTGGACACCTTCCGACCTGAGGGGCTCATCTTCCAGCGTCATATCTTTTTGCCTTTTGATACTGTCCATGGGGTTTTCATGGCAAAGATACTGGAGTGGGTTGCCATTTCCTTCTCCAGTGGATCACATTTTGTCAGAACTCTCTGCTATGACCTATCCGTCTTGGGTGGCCCTGCATGGCATAGCTCATAGTTTCATTGAGTTATGCAAGCCCCTTCGCCACAACAAGGCAGTAATCCATTAGGACTGTGACTTAGTTATTAAGCAAAGTGGTTGCTAGGTGAAACTGCAACTATATGACTTACTTTAGCTTGCCTTTGCTTTACAGACCTGCAAAGATTGTAAATACAAGAACTGGTTGCAAAGTTATTTTTTTCATCACCATCGTAACTGCGAATGGTCACTAAATGAGGCAGTCATTAAACAAGGACTACCTAAAGTTGTATTTTTTTTAAAAAAATACCTCACATTTATTTTTATAAATAACTCAAAGTGACAAACATTCTTAATATTCCCTCCTCTTCTTTTCCCAACAACATGCATGGGAGGTGAATTGGGCTGAGAAAGAGTGACTGGTTCAAAGTCACCAGCCAACTTTGATGCCTAAGGTGGAACTACAACTGTTTCCATGTTTCTAGCCTGGTGCCTTAACTAATTTCTTATAGAGCTTAGTTTCCAACCACTTGATCAACCTTGTTGCCATTCTGTAAACTTATTCTACTACCGATATGCTGAATAGGAGAAAGATTTCTACAAGGCATGATATGGTCAATGCAAAAGACAGTTAACTCCTGATGATTTGGCAATTACATTTATATCAATGCAGTATAATTACAGTTCATTTGCAGTAATGTTATACTGTTGACTAATTCAAATTCTGGTCAACCACAATTCCAAGTGTTATCTCATTTAATTTTTTGTTATGTATTTCACAGCCATCCTTTCAACTCTTGTTAATAAAAATGTGAATGGAGCAGAAACCTACAGCATACCGTTTAGTATTTCCTTTCAGTTTGATGAACTAATGAACTCTTTTCAAGAGTCTTGAGCCAACAGTATTCACGTAATTAAAGCCATAATTATGTATTTTACCAATCTAAACTTCTGAGGTATTGTTTAGATGTCATGCTGTTGATCAAAAATGAGATAAGGTTAGCCTGTCAAGACTTGTTCTTGGCAAATTAATGCTGACCTAGCAAGAGAAGTTTTTGGGCAATGCACAAAATGATTTTTTAGACGGTGCAGCTATTTGGTACGGTCTTCTCAAAGGTTAATATATCAATACTTGTGATTGAACATTTAGAGGCATCGTACCCTCGAAGGCAAGTGGAGGTAAACTATAGGAGAGAGCTAGTTCCTTGTTCGGCAGCACAGTGCAAGTAATCGTGGAAAGCAAATTGCTTAGCTAAGCGGATCCACCTGGAGTCGTGGTGGAACTTCCTTTCTTCCCTCAAACCGCGGCATCACTAAGATTAACTCGGTTATCGGCGCGCAGGGCGACGACTGCAGTTTACTGCGTCCCTTAAGCGGTACCGACACATTTGACTGGGCCTCCCTCCCCAGCGGAGGAGGCGACATACGGCCATCAAAGCACAGCAAGTTCCAACAAGAGAAAATCCGAGTTACAGCCGTGCTTTCGGGGCGACGGAGCAGCTCTGTCCCGCCTGCAGTGCCTACTGGAGGACGCCCTTAGCGCCCCAATAGGGGCTCTGGCGCCCCAGAGAAGTTCCCGTTGAAGCTCCGCCCATTTCGCATCAGCCTCCTCTCCGAGTTCGTCCAAATGCCGTGGGAAGTATACGTGAGTTCCATTGGTTCTGCAGCGGTGACAATTCAGGCCCCGACGTTTTTCATTGGATCCCAGAAAGGAAAGAATGTGCTGCCCGATTATTTTCGTAGCTCTTCTGTCATTGGCTGCTTATATAGCGCGGATGCTTCCTTTCCACAAGCGGCGATTGGTCCCGATGTAGTGCTAGAAGGGAGGGCTCTGTGCGTTCACTTTCTTCTGATTGGATTTTTCTCCGAAGCTATTCGGCTCGGAAACCGTTCGGGTGTTCGGCTCGGCATCCACGGAAGACGCTTAGCAAGGCTGCGTAACTGGGCTTTGAGGGGAACGCGTGCGTAATACCGACGAGAGCGCAGCGGTTCTTTCCGAGTCCAGAGAAATGGGGCGGTCGGTTCCGTATTCCCGAAGAGTAGTCCGTAGGGGCGCGTAAGCCGAGTAAGGAGCTAGAACCTGGTGGCCGTACCAACAGCAACCGAGAGAGAAGCTGCTGCAACGGCCCCGTAAGCGAGTAGCGGACAAAGGAACCCGAGCGAAGGGGTGGCGGAGGCGGGGCCAAGCGAGACCCATCGCCAGCAACGTCGCAGCCGGCTGAGTCGGAAAGATCTGCCGCTTAGCAGAACCATGGATCACCCCGCCGTCCTCCAACTGCACTGCAGCGCCGTCCGCCTGAGCCGCCCCTCCGGACGCGATTTGCCCGCCCCACGGGCGCTATGAGAACTCCGGCGGCACTCGGCCCCCGCGTTGTCGAGCGAGAGACGGAGTGACCAGGCAGGTAGGCAGGCAGGAAGGAAGGAAGGCAGGAGCCCGCTCCTAAGGCCGCCCCTCCCCCGCGCCCTTCCTGCCCCCGCCGCCTCTCCTCATACGGCCCCGGCGGTTTGGCCGCCACTCTGTCAGGTTCTTTTCGGCAGCGGACGCGCCACCCTCGCGTCATATTCCTCCGCCGGCAAATAGTCCGTCCCTTCACTGTGTCTCCCCAGCGCCCCCATCCCGAGGGAAAAAAAAAAACCTCTCTTCTGGCCGTCGCCTTCTCACGTGACTGACTCGCTACCTAGGAAAAGGAAGGAAGGCGGGCGAGCGAGGAAGAAGAAAGGCGTCGCATCGGAGAGCCGAGCGGTGCTGCTTCTCTTTCCTGCCCCTCGCATCAGAAAGGGGCGGGGAGTGACTGGATTGTAGGGCTGGGCGGAGGCGGCCGCAAGCCCAGGCGCTGCCGCTGCTATTGCTACGGTAATAGGAATGAAGAGGATGGTGGCCTGCTGACGATAAAGCGAAGTGGAAAAGGGGCTGGGCAAGACTAAAGGCGGGCGCCCTCCTTTAAGGGTGGGGGGCCTGATCTTCACACTCTCCTTTTCTTCGCTGAGAGGACGAAACGGAGCAGAGAAAAGGAAGAAAAATCAGAGGAGGAGAAAGTCGATCCGATAGGGAGGAAAAGCTAACAGCTAACAAACCATGTCAGGGCGCCCGAGAACCACCTCCTTTGCAGAAAGCTGCAAACCGGTGCAGCAGCCTTCAGCCTTCGGCAGCATGAAAGTTAGCAGTGAGTATTGATTTCCATCCTCGGTCCTTTTTACATAAGCTATTCCAAAAGGAAGCATATGGTTTTTATATTTTTTAAGAATATTTCATTTTTTGGTTTCCATACATTCAGAATTGTCAGATCCATGCTGTCTTTTCAGCAGCTTTTTCTTTTTTCATCCACCCATATCTTGATTAGGCCTATCCTATGGCTTCCAACTAGGGAAGCCTTCCAGTGTATTTTCTCTATATTCCATGGTATGTTACCACAGGTTTTTATCGTACAGAAGTGGCAGATATGCTTGGTGATTAATAATGCTGTACGTATTTTGTGTACAATTTTTAAGATTGGTTGGATTCTGCAGAGGTATCTGGAACTATGTATTTGATTCATGGCACAAGCTTTTAAATGATTAGGCAATGACTGCATTCTCTCATTCTATTTCATGTATGGTAAGTAAGAAAAAATGTTTACTATGTACATTTTAAGGATTTTTCATCTAGAATATAAATTTTCATTTGATTGGTGGTGCAATACTTTCCAAAGTTGAGGGCTGTGTTCTGCATGTTTTTAGATCTCTCTGTTTCATACTTGACAAATAATTGGGATTTTGTGATGAATAAATCAACTTTTCAGTGTATAAATCGTGATGGGTATGGCACTGAATACTTTATCTATTAATACAACTTTATATAATTCTATTTTTCCTAGTCATAAAAATTAAGGTAGGATAGTAGACAAAACTTGTTTTTAAAGATACTGTGGTATTGATAGTTATATTTTGAAGCAGTGATGTGCAACAAAACTTTAAACCGGCTACTTCCTTTCTTCTGAGAGTGGCTCTCCCATCCAATGCAATGATTACCAACATACTTCTAGATATTCTATTTTATTAGAATAAATGGCCTTAGAACTTTTATTAAAGATTATTTCTGAAAAAATGTGATTGAATATTCTTCCCTTATTTTCTGAGAAGTCTTATTTTTGTTTGAAGAGGCTGACCTCCAGAAAACTAAAAGAATATGTAAATCTACAAGCCAGACAATCAATAACTAAAATGTGTGACAGCTACCTCTTTGTTGTTGAAGTTCCATGCAGTAGCAACAACATGTTTATGAAGTCTCAAGTAAACTGTTGACTTGGTGAATTACAAGTTACGCATGTTTAAATTAAAGATTAAATTCTACCCAATCCTAATTTAAAATTTAGATAGTATTTCAGATTTTTAAAAGCATTGCTGACAATCATACAATCTTTGATTACTTTAAAACATAGAATATTGTATATTTTGCCAATTGTTTCATGTAAATATTAGATGAGAACCCTTGTGTTAATTTATTTCTCAAAACTTTACATCCTACATCACCTTAATAACATAGTATATCAGTTTGCAATTCTGAAAGGGTTCAATCAGTTTATTGATGGGAGAAAGTTAAAGCTGCCCATAAAAAATGTAAAATTGTATCTTTTTCTGTCAATTATGATGAAGAAACATGACATAGGTTTTGTGGTATGCAACTGTTATTTCAAATGAAGAAATTACCATAAAAACCAATCTATTCAGAAACAGTCCCTATTGACTTAAATTACCATATGTATAGTAACTTATGCAGCTTGTGAATGCAATCAGTATATGACCCATAGTGCTACATATAAGCCTTTCTCAGTCCAGAGATGTTTAGTCATGATGTGACTGATTAAGGGATTTCCCAGCCAAAATTGTCATTTTGGGAAATGTTGGGATTTCAAATCAGTACATTTCAAGGGTGCTATGGTTGGAGAATCATAGGTAGAATTGAAACCTAGGTCAGATAATGCCTGAACTTACAATTTGCAACAAGTCAGGATTTTTTTTTAAATATTAATATTGTATCTGATTTGCATCCAAAACTAAGCCATAATGGATAAATTCATTTTTCATGCTGATGCCAAAATCAAACAAGTCATACTGTGACATAATGCTGTGATTCACACACTTCTTTTAAACATGTTTGAATCCGAGTGGGTCACATACAGTATAGCATCCAGAGACCTCCAAGATTGTGATACTGCAGTTACAGGAATGTAGTTCGGCCCATTAAAAAAGGGAGCTTGGAAAAAATCTGTGCAATGAAACAGGTGTGTTATTAGAAAAATGCTCCCATTTTTAGTACCACCTAGGAAAAAACCTCGAGTGATTTCTGCACAATCCTTAGTGATTATCACATATCTTACAGCATTTGGAGATGGAAATGCTGGCACTTGGTCATAAGAAAGATTGGCTATTCTTTAACTAGTTACAATACTAAAAACAGTTTTGATAATGCTATCAAGGCAAACTAAATGTTTCCTTATAGAATTAGGATATGGCAATATTGAAGTACCACCAGTTGTCTAGCAAGGTGTCAAAAACTTGATAACCAAAAAAAAGGGGAAAAAGTGATAAAGTACAGGTGGTCCTTGACTTACAATAGTTTGCTTAGTGACTGTTTGAAGTTACAACAGCACTGAAAAATGTGACTTATGACCATTTTTCACACTTGTGACCATTGCAGCATCCCCAGGGTCACGTGATTTACATTCGGATGTTTGGCAACTGATTCATATTTCTGATGGTCAGAGTGCCCCAGGGTCATGTGATCCTCTTTTGCAACCTTTTGACAAAAAAATCAATGGTCGGGTGCGTGGCCAACTCAACGTTCAGGTCGGGGGCGCCTGTGTGTGTGGAGGGGTGGGCGGAGCTGTGGGAGGGATCCAGGGATCTCCAGTGGAAGGGGTGGGACTGAGGGCATGGTCCAGTGGAAGGGGTGGGCATCAGGGCATGGTCCATCGGAGGAGCCTCACAGTTCTGGGGGACTCCCAGTTGGGCAGCAGAGGGCAAGCGCCCAGCCCAGCCCTTGAGCTCTGGGGCACCAGGACCCTGCAGCTAACCCAGTCCAGCCCCACTTCCCTGAGGGGGCGCCCAGCTCTGCTTACTACCTCCTCAAGGCTGCTGCTGCTGCTGTGCTCACTCTCCTTGGCTAGGTTGCTCATGGTGAGTGCAGGAGGGCAAAGTGCGTGAATCAGAGGGACGCCGACTTCCTCTCCATGTGAGAGGAAGGAGACCCGGCTTTGTAACCAAAGCATCCTTTGTGATAGGATGGGAGACCACCATGATAGGCCAGGAGGAGGGACAAGGGGATGGCGAAAGGGCAGCAGGGCTGCTGGTGGCCAAATGCTAAGGCAGGACTTCCCTCAGAGCCTCCCTCTCTCTCAATATAATCTTCCTTCCTTCCTTCCTTCCTTCCTTCCTTCCTTCCTTCCTTCCTTCCTTCCTTCCTTCCTTCCTTTTTCCCATTTCTTTTTTTCCTTCCCACTTCCTTCCCCTTTCTTTTTTTTTCCTTCCCCACTTTCCTTGTTTTCCTTACTTGCTCTCTTCCCCTCTTTCCCGTTTCTTTGTCTTTTCTCTTTCCCTTTCTCCTTTCCTGTCCCTTCTTGGATGCTCAGATGCAAAGGGGAAACATTTCTGATGCCCCTTTTCCTTGTGATCAAATGCCACTTTTTGCTAGTAGTTTGTGGCCACTTAAAAGATTGAGAAAAACCAGACTCAATTTGTGCTTGGATTTAGTGGGGGCATCCAGACAACAGTAGAGCAAAACTGTCAAAATTGTTGTGATAGTTGATCAGAGCTCCTCTGTTTTTTATGTGCAACAGCTTTACCGTTTAGGAACAGAGGTAGCTTAGTTGCTTTTCTATTAATATATAATCCTTAAAAGGGCTTCCCTATAGGGACTCTGCCTTGGTCTAATTCAGACTGGAAATATAGCAAAGTAAAATATATCCCCCCACTCTGCTTTGTCTTATTTTCCCACTGGAAATGGCTGTTAGCAACACACAGGGAAGGGATACTTTCCTAAGAGCTCACAATTCAAGAATACCAATGTTAAAAATACCAATTGCCAACAAAGTTCTGTCTGTGACAAAACAGAACACAAAATTGCTTTCTCTTTTTTATTGGAGCATTTCCTATCAAGTTGCCTCTCCCTCCCTCCCCTGCCTTTTTTTTAAAACTGCCAGAAGTTCTGGGCAGAGGTGGCCACAGGCAGGCAGCGGTGGGCAGAGGCTTTCCATTTTGACCCCTATCCCCTGTCGTTGCCTCTGTGTGGCTCTCAGCTCAGCTCACCTCTCCCAGACCTGGCACGTGTTTGTGTGTGTGCGTGTGTGTGCATGCGGGTGGGGGGGAGTCTCACCCCTTGTAGTCCTGCGCCCTTAAAGAGACCTTCTGTGATGGCAGGCTGCAACTAATGAAAACTGGTTTTCTTGGAGTACTTGTTTCTTTTTCTCAATGTGCCACCAATCGCATCGTGCCCTGCCCCTCCTCAGCTCCCGCCTCCAGGCCCGTGGAAGGCTGCAAGAAACTCTCATCATAGCTTCTCTTGTCTCTCCAGTTCTTTTCCTCCCCAATGTCACAGCATGGGGCTGCAAGGAATGAGACACCCCCCCCACGCGCGCGCGCGCGCGCACACACACACACACACACACACACACAAACAAACAAACAAACGTGCATGGATCTGGGAGAGGTGAGCTGAGAGCCAACCAGAGGCCCTTCAGGCACAGAAACAACGGGGGGGGGAGGGGTCAAGATGGGAAGTTTCCTGCCCAGAGCCTCGGGAGCTTAAAAAAAAGAACCTGCAAAGCACTCAGAATGTGGTCCCCAGGGATGCCGGACCCAGTGTGCTTGCTGCCTTCTTTGCATGCTCCCAAGGGGCTGGGCGGGGATGGGGCTGAGGCAGCGACGTGGCCTATTGCTGGTTCCAGGGCTGCCCCATGGATCTAAGGCTGAGCACATTCTGGCTTTGATGGTAGCTACGAGGTTGTAAATTAGCATCCAGTTGGCCTGGGCTGTCCTCTTTTCTTTCTAAGTGGTCAGTAGAGATGGTCAGCAGGGATGCCGGGCACTTGTTGCTGCCTCCTGGGCGCACACCCAGGGGGTGGGGCTGGGGCAGCCCCTCCCCTCCAAAACCTCTTTTTATATCCTTTCCTCTTCCCCCTTCCTTTTC